AGACAGTTTTGCCACATGTCCATCACAGATAGGCTGCCGTTACTGCTCTCTCAGTGCAAACTACTCTATATCTTTAGTAATAGTTGTTAACTTGGGTAAAAGTGGGTATGCATGAATCAGTCTATTTCTAGTCTGTGCCACTTTTGGATGTATTTTGACCTAGTGCATTCCACATCAATCTTCACACATTTAAAAATGTGTGATAATTATCATTTATTGTAAAAATTTATCCTAAGAAATGCATTATATTTGCATTTTGGATGCAATTCACCCTAGTATACACATTTTTTGCACGTAATATACCCTAATGAACAGATTTTGTATGCAATGTCCAGCCAAGAACTGCATCACAAAATTCAGAAAACCTCACAATTTGAAGGATAGCTATGTTCTGCCCTACATATTAATCTAGGAAGTGCAGGTTAGGTAAATTTGCTTAAACATGCAGCCAAAATTATTTTCTGCCCCTTCTAATGAGAAGATTTTATTTTTGTTGTTGTTGCCACATTGGGAACCTAGAGTCTCAGATCTGTGTAGAGAAAGCACTGTTTTATGTAAGGTTTTCCATGTAAATTTCCCCACACCATTGTAAATTCTGTATTAATCCAAAGGCTGGAACCTAACCATTTCTTGCCAATAACTATAATAATTACGGAGACTGGAGATCAGCTATGTAGTATGTATGACTGTGAGAAATAGAACCCTGAGGTCCATTTCTCCTCCTCCTCCTCCTCCTCCTCCCCCCAGGAAAACCTGTTCTGGGAAGTGCTATTTGAAGACAACATTTAGCAAATGAGAAGTGTTTAAGCCTTTCCCTTCTCTACCACATCCCATCTTCCCAAGCAGCTTTCCCTATTCTGAACTCATGTCTTGGACATTAGCCTTGGAGATGAAATACAGGCCAGTTCATATTGGAATCTACATGGATTAAATTGCAGATATCCAAAGAATGATATCCAAAGAAGGTTTATGACAACCCAGTAACACTGAAACACATCAACATCAGTCCAACAAATAGCAAGGTAATCAACAGTGGTTAATTTTCCTTTTGTTAAGACTTGGAGCCCTGTCTCTCATCCACAGCAATCCACTGAAATCCTTGCCATCCTCAATAGCAGAACCGCAGTGAAAGGACAGCGAATGCTGTAATGAGAAGCCTAGTTCATCTTAAATTTTAACTACTTGTTTGCATAAATACAGGCGATAACTTTTCCATGCATTGTACCTGACATCTGTAACTAATACCTTACTGTAAAACCACCCATAGAGCTTTGGCTACAGGTGGGATAGAAATGGAAGGAATGAATGAAAATGAGTAATGCCCCCTTCTTTTTGGACCCAAGGGCTGTCTGGGGGATCTGTTTAGAAACACACACACATGTGCATACTTGTGTGATATGTAGGGGAATGTTTCCTTTCCTTATGACAAGATGATATAGACAACCAGCTTACCAAGTGCTTGTAAGCAGTCTGTGGTAAGTTACTGTTTAGTATATGGACTGTATCTAGTTTAGACCCAACTTTTCCGTCAATGCTGTGGCAAACCTGTTCTCTACAGCCATTGAGTTAGTCTGTATTCATAAATTTATGGGCATGCTTGTGCTAATTTGGACATTATCTAACTTGATGGTAGGCTGAAACAAAGACCAATCTATTCTACGGTATTTTTATTATCATTTAATAATGTTTTATCATTGTATTTTATTGCTTATATTGCTCTATGAGGCTGCATGGCCAGTATATTTATTGTTTATTGCCCTGATACCTTTTGATAAAAGGTGCTTTGTGACTGACCAAATGAATGAATGACACAGAAACATTCATACAATCAATTACCTCAAAGATTCTTCAGATTTCACCCATCAGTTATTCTGCATCTTGAGATTTGCAACTGTTGTAAGCAAGGGATCAAGGAAGGTCAGTATCCAGTCAAATCAGATGCTGATATAAATTGGACTGACATTTCATGTGTTGGCCTCTGTACTTCAAAGGTAATGTTTAATTCTTATGTGCCATGAGCCAGGTATACTTAAGACTATTTTTGGTAATGATTGTGAGAAATACCAACATTAGTGGTCATTTATGCTAAGCATTACAGTAAGCACAAAAGCCCATAACTCAGGTAAATTTAAGCAGTCACTAATTCAAATAGGATCATTTTGGCATAAGTGGATTGCAGTTTGCTGCTTATTGCATTTGTTAAGGCTGCACGTTTGAGCCTCTACAAAGGGCTTCTCTGGGCTTCTGTGTGCTGTGAAGTGATGGCCAATTCTTACCTTCAATACTTTGGGTAACTGAACGTTTCAAGCTAAAGGGGATCCCAGTTTAGACCTACTTAGAGTAGACACATTCAAATCAATGAGACATAAAATAAAGACTAACTGAAATCTCATTGTGCTGAAAAAGCTGGAGGACCTAGTCTCACTGTGGAAAGGGAAGATGCGGAGGGCTGTCAACATGATTGTTCCCAAGTGCTCACTCTGCTTCTTGGTATATTGGAGACTTGCAAAGCACAACGGGCTGGTGCAAATGGCTTGAGAGATGGAGAGGAGAGGAGAGGAGAGGAGAAGAAGAAAACCTACAAAACAGACAAAATGGATTTAATAAAGTTTTATCTTAAAAAAAAAGTTATGCCACAAGGGACACTAGGATATGTACTAGCAGTTAAAGAACCAAGAGAGAAACAAACCATGGCAAACCAGGGAGCACTTGATTGTCTGATGGCGCAAGCATGGATTGGTAATGGATTAAATAACTGTCTGGGATCTGTTTCTGGAGGGCTTATGTGTGACCTTGCTCATAATATTGAAAGCAAATATTTAATACTCTACACCCATCCTGAATTCCTGAAACTCCAAAGGGTGAAGATGGAGGATTGTATAGTGGTAATGAGCTTGTGATAAGCATAATGATATAGAAATGTTTTTCAGTAGCACTTAATTTTCCACAAAATAATTCTTTTCCCATGACAGAAACTTTTCTTTGCCTAATAGATATTCTGACAGGAAACACTGAAGTACTCTAATAATTGCCTGTTTCTGATGCAGTTCATGAGTCTCAACAAAAACAATTCTAATGCAAATCCATTGCTGATGAAGTATTGGACTGGTTTTGCAACAAATTGCATGCCTATAATTTAATTGCACATGATAATAATGATTATGTTTGGTCATAGCATGTGCCAAAATAATCCCAATTCTTTCCCCAGCATAAATCATGCAACTATATCACATTTATGCAAGGTTATTTTCCGTAACATTGTTTGGTCCATCTAGTGAACCTGAAGTTTCTTAGAATTTGGAATGTCATGCCATGAAGCTATGTATATACAGACGGTAGGCAGAGATTTGGAGAGAGAGGGAACAACTGAAAATCAGGACCACCAGCTCAACAAGAGCACATTCTGCTCTGGAGCTTGTAGGCATGCACAGAGAAGCTCTTGCCACAAAGTTTGCTCCATTCGTTTCTCCTTTTGTAGAATTTGCAGCAAAGTACTCTCTTTTTCTGAAATGTGTTGCCCTCCACACATTCATTGCTGTGTCAAGTCTCATGCCGAACCCAATTTGTACGTGCTTTCAAGTAGGGATCAAAAATGGACAGAAACCTTGTACCAGATGTTAGATTCAGGTTCAGAGGAACAAACACCTGCAGAAGATGGCATGCACATGGAATTTCTGCAAAGACCCCTGGTGTCTATCTGAAGAGAGTTGCTATGTTTGGATGTAACTGTGTTTCCTCGTTACGGGCACTCCTCAGACCACATTCCTCACCTTTCCCTTTCCTCCTTACACTGTAGCCCGGAGAGGATTGAAAGCTCTTGCTTCCATTTGTGATTAACCACCGTTCAGCAATATTTCCAAAGCTTAAACTGTGGCTTATCCTAACTACAGTTTATTGAAACAAGTCAGCTCTTTACAGCAAAATTGGAGAAATTCAGTGTCTTTTCATTAGACCATTGCTAAGCCAACCACAGTTTGTCAGGTCTGGGACAAATGGACCAACTGCATTTATTCAAAAACAGACCAGAAAACTTCTGATCTCCTTATGGACAAAGGAGAGGGAAGCACATGTGCCTGAGTTTGCCTGGGTTTTTCCCCATAGTTTAGCATTTAGTCTAAATAAGGCCTCTGCACTCTTCATATGAACAATTTCAGGCACTGTAGTTAAGATATACATGCTTGGCTGATGTTAAAGGGTCACTGGCAGGTTAAAAAATAATGTTGCCTTTTTTTAATTAACTGTTTTTCTCAGGTCCAGCCCCTTCCAAGAATTGGTTTCACTTTAAATGTTTTCATTCTATTGGGCACTGACTTGCATCAAATGTCTTTGGATCTGTATCTCCAGGACACCTCTGACCTTTGAAAAACTAAATGCCACAACCTTATCCTCTTAGATTAGATATCAATTTGGCATCACACTGGTATAACAGGAGCCTGCCTTCAACCTAAATACCGTATGTACAAGCCAGGCCCTCCTTCATAAACATCTTTGTAATCTGCTCAAAACCCTGCATCAAGGCTTGGGACAAAGTTAGTACAAATTAACTTTATTAAAAATGCAGTGTGCAAAATTTCCCATCATATGTAAGGATGATTTACATTTCTCAGAAATATATAGTAAGTGGCCTAATTTATTTAACGGGCAATCATCTGCAAGTTTAGACAGAAATTAGAACCAGTGTGGCGTAGTGGTTAAAGTGTTGGACTAGGACTCAGGTGATCTGGGTACTAGTCCCCACTCCGCCATGAACATTTCTGGGTGACTTTGAGCCATTCAGACTCAGCCCAACTAGCTTACAGGATAATATTGAAAGGAGGAGGAGGAGGAGGAGGAGGAGGAGAAAAGAGGGTGAATAAAAATATAATGAATGAATGAATGAATGAATGATGTGAAGGCAAGCCTCACTGGAGAAGGCACCATGCTAGGGTAGATTAACAGCAGCAGAAGAAAAAGCAAACCGAATATGAGGTGGATTGATTCCATAAAGGAAGCTAGAGCTAGAATTTACAAGAACTGAGCAGGACTGCCAAGGACAGAGGGAATCCATTCACAGGGTCACCAGAGATGACTTGATAGCACAGAACCACAAAAACAAAAGCCTCTGTATTGTCCTGAGACAAGTGATTCGAAAAAGTAGATACTTCCATCACCTTTGTGAATGTCTGTAACATGCCTCATTGAATGATGTGTCCTAAATTAAGAATATCATTACTTCTGTTTTAGTGGAATTTTATGAAGCTAACGTTAATGCCATCACATGTCTGAACCCACAAGAGACATTTTGACGGCCTGCACTGGGGACAAAACTGGTATTTAAAAGGAAGGAACATCAAAATAATTATGCTGGGGGAAAAGGAAATGCTTAAGTGTTCTATTTCTCTGTCAGTCTTGAAGGTATCTAACCATTTATTTCCCTGAAGGAATTCTTCAAACTGAGATATTTCAGCATTTTTGAAGTTGCTAATTGCTAAGTTTATTTGGCAAGTATTATTTTAGATAAAGTCATAAAAACTAGAAAGTCACATAGTTTAGGGTGTCACATCATTGGCCTGGTTTAGGCTGTAATCCCATGCACATTTATCTGGAAGTGAGCCCCACAAAAGTCAACAAAGCGCATCTTCTGCAGGTACAGATTGAATTGGATTTGTTGGGCTCTATAGCAGGGGCACAACACACCTCTTGCTCCTCTCCTGCAAATGATCCTTTGGTGTTCTATGTAACAAGGTGGGGTGGACAAACCATGTAAATCAGGGCTATTCATGATAGGCATCCATCCTGAATGTTCAGATCGGGTTGGTCCCTTCTATATTGCCTCAAAGAGGACATGCATCACCAGGCAGAGGCACAGAAGAGGGCAATTTGTGATGCTTACTTGTGATGCTTCCTCACTGTCAGAGCAATACGGCAGTGGAACCAGCTGCCTAGAGAGGTGGTGGGCTCTCCCACACTAGAGAAATTCAAAAGAAACTGGATAGCCATCTGAGTGGGATGGTGTAACTTGGTGTCCTGCAACAGCAGGGGGCTGGGCTTGATGGCCTTCATATCCCCTTCCAACTCTACTATTCTATGATTCTCTGAACAAATGGAAATTTAGAGGGCTTTACTACATTCATTCATTCATTCATTCATTCATTCATTCAATGAGGGAGGGAGCAACTGTCATCTGTGCACCTTCTAAACCTGTTATCCTGGTGCCAAATGTTGATAAGCAACTTTGATCTGTTTCTTGATTGTTCAACTGGTTCTCAACTAAATAGGTCACACGGCCACCCTGTGCTGATGCCTCTTGAGATTATCTGCCTACTGCAGGACAAGGGATGCCAAGATTCTCACTGGTAGGAGTGCCAACATGTTCTCATAGAACTTGGGGCTGAGCAGCCTTTCTGTTGAGGACTGCATTGCCTTGTGGGTAATTTGTTGGGGGAGGCACAAGTTGGCAAGGGGTAGGGTAGAAATCAAAAAGGCGCAGGCCTAGTGTCCAAAGTGGAGAGGTCCGCCCTTCTCTCCTTCCACTATTGCCTTTTCTATTTCCTGTCTTTCTTCCTATTCAGGGGGCTGCCAAGAAAGGGTCAGATATTTCTTTCCAGAGGACTACTGAAATTAAAATGATGGCTGCATGAAAATAGGAAGTCTCCCACTTGCTATCTACTACTCACTAACTAGCCTGAACTCAGTTGAATCTGTCGCCTGTTTCCTCTCTCCGCCATGAGGACCCTCGCATTATACTGGCCTCACCACTAATTCATATTCTCTAGGGTGCACACTTATGAATCACCAAAATTGAGGATAAAGAGAATGTGGATGCGCCTAAAACTTACTTGTGCCACGTTATAGGTATGCATCTAATTAATAAGAATTAATGAAAAAGACACAATTATTTGTTAAACTGAAATAAAGAACCGGGCAGCTTGTTGGACAGAGGCCAGTCCTCTGTAAAAGTGCATACATGGCTCCCCTATTTATCTAGTTCAGCTTTGGTGTTAAATAATGGGTCATTTTAATCTGCACTTATTTAAGCAAACAAAACAGTATTTGCAAAGCAGCAATAGCTGCGTTTTTTCTCCAAGAACAATGGCTCTCCTATGTGATGGAGCATACTTCCAGTAGTTTGGGAATCATTGCACTTAGTTAGCTTCTAGTCAGGGAGGAATATTGATGCGTTAGTGGTGGTATCATTGCACCCAGAAGCCAGCAAATTGTATGAGATGCAAAATAGGTGGGATATGTGTGTGCGAGTGAATTTAGAAATTGGCCCAGTTTCCACAAATGAGAGCCAAGGCTCTTTATTCCACAAAGCTATAATAACTGGCAGAGCAAGGTAAATGGTGTGAAAGGGACAACATTAGATGATAATAGCCAAAAAGCAGAATGAGCAAAAATGCACATCTTAATACACACAGCAGCATAATGGGTGTTTTGATATAAAACAATGTAATTATGCAGAAACATTGCAGACATTTAAATGTCAGGGCTAGGAGATGCTTAATGAAGTTAATAACATAGAAGCAGTTTGGAATGTAATAAATAAATAAATTTAAGGTGTTAGATGCATAAAACAACAATGCCTTAGCTTGGTAAAAATAATAGTGGACATTTTCAGATTGTTTTAAATCTTCCAGCACTGCCAAATATATTAACCAATTAATTCTGTATGCTCCACATAGAATGCACTTGTTCATTTCAGTACAGCAGTAAAGAGACCAGGCAGCCAGTCATGTGAGATGTGCAACAGCTAAAGAACCGAGCAAAAAATGAGCAGCAGCGCTATCCTCTAAATCAGAATAGGCTACAAACAGTTGCATCTCTGTCCTTGGTGCTTGGATCAAGACTAGCCAGCTCTCGAGTTTTGTACCGCAACCAACATGCTCCCACCTCTCCTCCGCCCTGCCCTGTTGGCATGGTGTTCCCATGGCATCATTTGACTGGATGGTGCTGGTGATTCAGCCAGAATTGGGGAAAAAGCGGAACGGCCAAGATCAGCAGTCAAGCAAATGTCCAGGAAGAATTGCTGTCTTGCTACCTGAGGATCACTCCCACTTTGCACTCATGGTCCTGAGTTACTTGTCTGAGTTTGCATTTTCTGTGTCATGATTTGCTGAAGGAGCATTAAAATGTGCATTCAAAGAAGTGCTTCAGTGTTGTTGCATGGATTAGACCATCCATCAAACCTCTCTGCTTTGCACACATGCTGCTGGAGTTACTTGCCTCTTGCAATTACTCAGCCTACCATTGGCTCTATCTAGTCTCAGTCCCTGGCATCAACTACACTTATTATTATTATTATTATTATTATTATTATTATTATTATTATTATTATTATATTTCTATGCCGCCCCTTGCCGAAACCTCATAGTCTAGCCGAACTCACAACAGGGAGTTGTTGTGTCTTCCAGCCTGCACCCCCAGTATGCAATGGAAACGGCCAACTAATGTCTTTGTTAAACTTGGAACAGGGCAAGTGACCAACAACATTCAGCAACATCAGAAGGGCCACAGGTTGCCCAACCCTTCCTGAATTAATTATTGCTTTAGAGATAGTTTGCAAAGTCCAGTATTACAGAGAATAGCAGGAAAATGCAGCTGGAGTTCAAAGCCAAAGGGGGCAAAAGACATAACTGTCAATCTGTGTCCAGCAGCTGCATCTTTTGCTTTATTTTACTCTAGGTGTGGTGCCTCTGATTTGCATAAGCATGCTGGTTTGTGGGGCAGGGCATTGTGGTGGTTTAAAGCTAAAAAATAGGGGTTCATTTACCTCCTCCAGAGTAAAAATGAAAAGAGGCATAACTGCTCCACACACATTTAATGGGGTGTGTATTTTTGTCCTCAGAAAGACAGACCTGTTATCCCAGTACAACAAAACAAAATGGTTGCATTGTTACCCTGATGACACAACTCTGTTTTGAAACTGATTATAATAACCAGATACTTATGGTGCTTTTTCTTTCTAATTTTTGAAATAATGCCTTTATGGCTGCACACAAAATGTGATTACAAGAGAATCACTATGCTTTTTATATTATTCAGATTTAAATTGATATTCAGGTTTGAATTTGGCAGGAATCCAACAAAAAGCAAGAGACTTAAGTAAGAGGAACAGGCCTTACAAATGAACAGTGAGAGACAGGAAAAGGTGGGGATCCACGTCTTCCTTTCTGTGATGTGTTAGCAAGTCTAATGAACAGAGGGAGCAGAAAGTGGCGACAAGAATGGCAGCTTCCTCAGCTCTTCAAGTACACAAAGAAGGTGATTGGGAGAATGAGCGGGCTGTGACAGGAAATCTTTGGCAAGTGAATTTAATGGGCATTCAATAAGATTGTTGCTGAACTGCTCGAATGCTATTACAATGTCTGACTAAGGAATGAATGCAATAAATCCATTGGGGAATTCTGATGTTATTGGAGAGCTAGCAATTTCCATACAATTAAGCTTGTAAGATGCGCCCTCACTTTATATATAAAGCATGGTTCATGTGTGAAATATTGCAAACTGATCCTGTAAATGGGTTCCACCTTTTGCATATACAGGATCTCACCTGGTTGAACTGGGACCCAGTACTAATTCAGCAGCCGACAGAGCGGCCGTTTTGCCAGTGGTGCCCTGTCCCAGTAGGCAGCCACGACTGCAGCAAAGGAATCAGCTTTGAACTGTAGACCAAAGAACAGAAGATACTCTATTTTGTTCACTGCTCTTCATGGGCATTTGCACAGCACTGGCGGCAGCTGGCAACTGAAATTGCCAACCAGGAGAATAAACTTTTGGTCAACTATCAACTTTGTACAGTTGCATGAAATAATGGCAATGCTTGCATTGGAATACAAGTCCCTGATTCCAGGTCTTTTCTTTTCTTCAGTCCTAAATATACATCCATAGCATCTTAGCATGATCTCCATGGGTATTTCAGATAAGAAGCTGAGCTGAATCTATCTGGAAAGGGTGATTGTGCCAAAGGCTACTGTGGCTGTAATGATTTGCCTGTGAAGTGCATCATGTGGGCATGATTCTGCCATCCCAGTTTCCCTTCTAGGACTGAATAGGGGTTATGAGCTGGTTACCCGCCCAAGGAAAGGCAGTGACCGGCTTGGCTTCCTCTTGCTTTCCTGTAGGAGCAACTAGCAGAGCAGGCAGGTGGTGAAGTGGCTGGACAGGAAAGTAACAGAAGCCTTTCTTGGGTTTCACAGAACTTGGGTTGACACCTCAGATCCACACTGAAAGGTGATATTTAGTAAAGTATCATAAAGGAAAAAAATAGAAAGCAGAGAGGCTATCTGTATAAAAATTAAGTAAAACAACAAAAACTTGGTAACCCTCTTTAAGGTAAAATGCTCACAACTCAGAAGTCAGCTGGAAAACTGAAATCATACAGCATCTTTGGGTGGTGAGAGAAGGTGCTGGCAAAGGGTGACAAAATAACATGCAGCACAGTCCAGTATGGCGACCACAACCCTCTGAACGTGGGGGATTATGGACATCATCTGGAGGGTAGAAGGATCACAGAGAAGGTTGCCTCTGCAATTCTTGTCCCCACTGCAACACTGAATTGGCTGATTTCTTTTCCGCACAGCATAAGGAGAGGAGGCTGAGGCACTGCCAGGATAATAAATATGGTGGCAGAACCACCCGCCCTCTGGAACACCCACAAAATGCCACCTCCAAGGTTGCAAGAGTGACCTTGGAGCTGCAGCCAGAGTTGTTCTTGCAGCGCCAGCTGCGAGGGTGGAGGGAAGGTGCTCCCAATCTGAGTCCCAGCCCTGCTCTTGGAGCAAATTTCTGAGACTGGAACTGAGCCACAGGAATGTTTCCGAAGTAACAAAAGGTATAAAGAATCATATCAAAAGCTTATTGTAATTGGCTTGTGTGGGGGAGAGATGACTGCCTAACATTTTGCCAGATGGAGGAGTGGTGTGTATACGGGAACATCCTACTCCCACCTTTTAAGGCTAGGAAATGGACCACTGGTGTTAATTAAAATGCATTTTAGGAAGGACTTCTGGGCTTTGCAGAGGGAGCACATCAGCCACTATGTGAAGGCTGAACAAGATAGTCCTTAGGTCTGATTTAGCATGGCTCTTCAGAATTCCTGGTTCAGCATGGCGTTCACTATCTCCAGTGGAATGGATACATTTTCATAGAGGAAGAGGCTATCAGTGGCTAATAGCCTTGCTGGCTAAGTGGTACCTCCTTCAGCAGAGGTGGCCTGCTTGCATACACCAGTTGCTGAGGAGCTTGGGCAGGAGGAGGTCTTGCAACCATCCTGCTTGAGGGATCGTGTGGGCAGATGGTTTGCCAGTGCTGGACTAGATTTGTCTGAACCAGCATGGCTTTTCTTATATACTAAAAGGCCTCCAGTTTCATGGATCTAGGAGTATTGGGACAGGCATGTTATTCCAGGATGGCTGGTGATGTCAGCATCCCAGTGGCTGGAAGCTTTGACCAAAAAGCTGGTGAAGCACATTATAGGGCCAAACTACAAGCTATGCTCATGATGTAGTTGAGCTTTGCTCACATTTTGCTTTCAAGTAAGCATGCACAGCCACAATTGGGATTGGGACCATGACTTTCCAAGATGGGAAGTCTATACTCCCTCCAAATTGTTTCCTCCCCTGATATTCTACCTCCCACCAGGGGAAAAAGAAGTTTCCATTGACAACCCTGAAGCCATTTTCCCTCAAATCCCTTCCCCTCCCCCATGCTGGGGGAGAAATTTGGGGGAAAATAAAGAGTGGTGGTGGAAGATTTAACTCTCTCCTCCCAGTGTACCCTGGTCCCAATTCAAGCCAGGGCTGCACAGACTTACATGAGAGTAAAATGTAAGACCAATCTCAGCTATATGCTATGACAGCTCAATAATATAATCTATATAACATGTAGTTTGGCTCTAGATGCCATAACACGTTCTTAATTTTGAATGGGCAATTAGAATTCTCTGTTCTTTTAAGACAATCTGCCTGATTCTCAATGTGTAAAACATGTTATTTCTGTTCCAAGATCAGTGCAGGATCTCTGGATTGCAACGTTCCCAGGCTGGCAGGAGGCTGGCACCTCTGAAGCTCTGCAGAGCATAACAACAAGCCACCCAACACCTTTTGGATAACTCTTGATGCTTAATAATAGTGACAAAGAGAGAGCAGGTTGTCTGGTTTCTTTAGAGTTCCAGAGTTTTCTTTTCTTTTGTTATTGATGGGGGATAAAAACTAGATAGAAAATGAAGACTGTAATTTGTTACAACTGGAGAGCTAGCAGAGAGGATCACCCTTTGCTCTCTCATTTGAACAATGGGAGTGCTAAAACAAAAAGCCCGCTTTTCTCTAATTGCTGCGTTATTGACAAAGAACAAAGATCCTACTGCGGGACTTGAACCTAAGCATTTCAGGTGAAGCTGCAGACATTCTGCCAACGGAGTCACTGCAGTATCTGCAAAAGAGTTAATTTAACACCCTGCCTCTTCAATAGGATCATGATCTAGAAGCCCTTTATAGAACTTCAGCAATTTTTTCTCTGTTGCATGAGGCGTTACTGAAAATATGACTTAATACTAGCTATTGCTATTTAAGCTGTGGATTGAAAAATGAGATCAACTCTTCTGTCATCTAAATATATTCATCAGTGCCAGCTTGTGCAAACTTACTCAGAAGTAAGTGTGACCGAGTTTACTAGATTTCTGTTCTGGTAAATCTTGCTAGAATTGAAGTTTAAAATGTAATTTATTTGCTTCTTATTTTTAGAGACATCAAAGAGAGTTTATTCCCCTTAATGGAAACTGAGCGATGTTGCAAGTAAAGATAAGTTCTATGTATGCAGAATGTGTCTTCAAACAAACAACTTATATTTGGTCCTTCAGATGGGAGCTTCTGGTGACACTATTTTAGAGATCTTGGATACATTAAAAGAGAAACATGCAAAACAACCTTTTCCGTTCATTGCTACACATTCCGATCATGCAATCCCACTGTTTTCAGAGCAGATTTCTCTATAGGACTGTGGGGTTCTTAAAATGCCCATCAAAAGCAATTTAAATGGTTGATAAATATGGTTATCTTTTGGGAACTTTGCTATTTTAGTGAAAAGAAAAGAAACAGGGCATACATTGATACAGTCTTTGTGATCAATATAAACTTATTTAAGCCATG